CCGCGGCGCCTCCGGTGCCGGTACGCCAGGCTGGACTCGCCCCCACCACGGGCTTACAGCACCAGGAAGGGTGCAGAGCACAGCACAGCCCCCGCCGCACCGACGAGTACAGTGTTACGACTTGGGGTGCCGCTCAGTTGGCATTGGCCATTGTGAGAGAGCTCTGCAGGCTTGGAATCATCCGTGGGGCCGTGGGTTCCAGCGGCTCAGCTTCCCGTCACCGCAGGCTTCACACTCGGCCGTTGTGCGTGGCCGACGAGGCGTGAGGGCAGGGCCGGTGGGGAGGTGCTCTGGCAGAGCAGGCTGCGGGGCTGCCGCGCGTCTCGGGCTGATTCGGTCTGGAAACGCTGAACTTTTCTCTTGCTTCAACCGCAGGGAAGCGTTCTACTGGAAACTAAGAGCCGGTCGCAGCAGATTGGCTTTGCAGTTGGGGATGAACCTTTGTGGCAGCGGGCTCTGGAGAGCGAAGGAGGTCAGGCGGCAGCGCAGGGAGAATCCCGGCTGGAGAGGCTACAAACAAACCACTGAGGCACCAACCATCGGCGTGATACAAAACCCACCCACCGACCGAGGAAATGGTAACGAAGGAAAACACCAGCTTTGCAGAAATGCGAGGCTCTCTCGAGGTTGCTCTGCAGCCCCTACTGCTGCTGGAAACTTATTTGGTGAAAATTGAAGTTGAAATAATATTTACAATCTAAAGCAGTGGAAATGTGAAATAAAAATTGTCCTTCCAGCACAGAGTGGAGCAGATTGCTCTGTGGAGCCCGAGATTGCTGCTGCTCGCTCAGGTGCCCGTCTGAATGGTGGATGTGCTTGCTGAGCTTGCCACCACTTATCTTCTCCCAGGAGGCTGGTGGGACAGTTAGGTTTAACTCTGTCTTCCCAGCAGCCCTCCTAGCTGTCCTGCACATCTCAGAGTGGGAAGTTTCCCTCTGGGACTCGTCAGAGCCCAGCTCCCTCAGCAGCCAGGGGCTTTCTTAGTCCTGCTGATTTCCCGCACAGAGCGCAGCGATGGAATCTGCATTTTGCCTCAGGTTTCCCTTTCCGCCCCCAAATTAACTAAAGTTACAACACAAATGCTGTCGCTTCTGAATGGGGACAAGTTTATCACCAAGCCCTTTGCCAGTTTGGGACAAAAGTCTTTTATTACATTAGTGCAACACCTGTAGCATAAATGATTGGTCAAAGAGTCATTGTTCCTACATGTGTGAGAATACAGAGAAGTGGATCGCTCCTTCCAGGTGGAGTCGAGCTCTTGCCGTGAGTGTTTTCGTGGTTGCCGTAGCCTGCTGCTGTTAGTTATACCCTACAGGTACCATCAGCCCACATACTAATCGACCAGTTAAACAAGGACACGTCCTAGTCTTGCCCTTCTTAATTTGCTGAAATAAAGCACGAGTTGCCTCCTGATCAAACTGTCTGTAAAGTGATTCTGTACCCATGTAAATAAGATTGACTTCATAAAGATATTTAACACGTGCTGTGCCTCGCTGCTTTGTCTGCTCTTCCAAACGTGCCTGTCCCTCCCTTCCCTCCCCCAGTAACAGGAATGAAGGTCTTTTGGACAAGGAGAGGACAGGGTGAGAAGTCTTGAGCATCAGTCTAGGGGCTGTGATTGACTTCAAGCACTTGTGCAAAGAGCTCTTAGCTAAACAGTACCTTAAGATACAGTGATGTGAGCCAGTGGGGGAAGGAGCTTTGTAAGTGAATCTTAAATCCTAAGGTTGGACAAGTCTTGCAAATGTTTTACTCAGCTCACAAGGGCAGTGACAGAAATTGGCTCTGGGAGCCCCAAGGCCAGGCCCCAGGCAAGAGCTGACTGACTTGAGGAATGAGGTTCAGGTTCTCCAGTGCAGGAAGTCACAGCACGGTTCCTCTTTGGGGCTGCTGGCACAGGGCTGAGGGCACCTTTTTGCCAGTGTGGTGCTGGCACAGTGCCCCATCTCTCTTGGTTCTCTGCCTGCTGGCTCACCTGCAGTGCCTGGACCTGCTCTGTGGAGAAAACCCAGTGTTTTCTGTCATCTCAGGAGCCTGTGCTGGTGTGGGCCAGCCACAGGTGGCTGCAGAGGAGGTACTATGAGTTTAGCCCACCAAGTGGTGCTGTGTGCTCAGAGCTGCCCAGGAAAGAGCGATCCTGGGAAAAGAAACCACCACCCAATAGCCATGAAAACACCCAGAATCACTAAACAAACACCTCCCTGAAGATAGCGTGCAAAGGGAGCGCTTCTCCCACCTGTCTGCCTGCAGCTGTACAGCATTGCCTTTTGTTCTAGTTGTGCTGATGGACAGAATCTCAACCAAGTTGCAGGAGAGCCCTGGAGCACACGCATGGACTAAAGCATTTGCCAGCTCCAGCAGGATCAGCCTTTTGCCAGGGCGGTAGGGGAAAGGCAGCGTGGCTCCGTGCAGCTCACCTCCTCGGCTAGTTCCCTCGACTTGCTGCAGCAGCTCAGGTGGAAGGGGACGGAGGAGCGGGTCAGAAGGCAGCCTTGTTGTCTGCCACCCACTGACGGAAGGTGCGGGCCTTGGGGTTGAGTTTCATGGTCAGGTCCACGTTGCGGTCTGGCTTCAGGGCATAGAAACGGAACATATTGGCCATTTCCTTGGCGCCAGGGGTGCCACGTTTCTCAAAATCCGCAGGTGAGAGCTGCAAGAATAATTGGGGGGAAAAAAACAAAGTGTCATCACAGGGCAGAGGCTGCTGGGGGCCCTTCCTGTACATCACACAGGGAAGCTGAGGAGGGCGGCATTGGCTCAGCCTGCCAGGCTACTGCCACTGGTGAGGAGGGTGCTGCTGCTCTGTAAGTGATTTTAGTTGAGTTTGTGTGAAGAAAGCAGCAGCCATACAGTGTGAGGGCAAGGCCAAGGAAAGCCTTCGCCAGAGCACACTGGTGGGAGGTAGGATGGAGAAGACCAGTGTCTCTTGGTGGTGCTCCAGGAGTTCCCCCCAGTCCACCCTTCCTCCAGGTGCAGCTGGAGAACAAGGGGTGGGGAGAAATAAAAATAAAAATCAGACAGTATGGATGCTCACAAGCTTGTTCTGGATCTGTCCCACACAAGCTGCCCCCCAAAGCCACAGCCCCCTGCCTGGCAGGGAACAGCCCAATCTGCCTGGAGCCGGTCCCTGGCTCTGGCACACAGCCGACCTGGGCACAGGCTCGGGCACACAATCTGCTCACCCCAGCAGCAGAGGCCCAGCACAGCTACGAGGGAGCCCTTCCCTGCACTGGGCACAAGCTGTGGCTAAGGGGGGGTCTAGAAACACGGGCTTGGGAGATCTGGGCGAGCTCTGTAGAGTCTGAGCAACCCAGGCTGCCACCCGGCACTCCAGCCTTCCACTCACTTGGCATTCCAAGCCTTCCCTGCTTGGATCAAAGGGTGGACCATGGTGCTTCTGCACCGTGCTGGGAAGAAAAGAGCTGCTTATTTGTCCCTGGCAGAGCAGAACCTGCAGAGAGCATCAGAGCTGCGTCGCTGCTGCTGAGCTGCACTTTGCTCTCCGAGCAGAGAGCCACCGCGCCCCTCAGCCACTGCATCGGCTGCCTGATGGCAGCAGCACAGCCAAAGTACAAACAGAAACAAAAGTCACAGGGCACAGGGAGGCCAGGAGCGCTGTAACGGTGACACAGCAGGAGCGCTGTAACGGTGACACAGCAGGAGCGCTGTAACGGTGACACAGCAGGAGCGCTGTAACGGTGACACAGCAAAGCCCTGGGGACACACTGCTGAAGGGAAGGGCGCGCAGCAGAGACCTACCTGTTCCATAGGTGCCCAGCCCTACTGGCAAGTGCCAGGCCCTGGCTCTTCTGGAGACCTCCCGCTTCAGTTATCCCTCAGAGCCAGGCACAGACCTGCCCGGGCACACACGCGCGTTCCACGAGCGTGAGTTGTCTCAGAGACAATACTGACACGGCAGTTTTGGTGCCAACATGTGCTCCAGCTGCACGCGAGGGCAGCGGCACTAATCCTGAACGCCAGTGCGGGGTTGTACCAAACCCGTACACTGGGCTACAAGGGGCCCTCCACCCCCGCAGCTCCCGACCTTGCTGCTGGGGCAGGACAGCAATCATTTTGCCACTGCCGTCCGTGCTTGGCCCCCCAGCAGGACCCCCCGCTATTCCAGACCAACGGGAGAAGCCGGGCGTGCTGCTCCTTTGCTGCTGCCAGGCAGGGGTGCCCAGCAGCAGCCTGGCTCAGGCAGGGACCTGCAGAGGACCTAGATGTTGGGAAGGCACCAGGATCATCCCTCCACCACCTCACGGCAGGTTGCAGAGCCCTGAGCCAGCTTCCCCACCTCAAGAACATCCCCCACACCAAGGGACGCTTCCTACCTTGCTGGCTTTCACGGTCTTGCCCGTCTGCTGGGAGAAGACAGCAGCATACTCTGCCTCGGTGAGCTTGCCAGTGCTGAGCCCGATCACTTGGCCTATGTACGCCTCCGGGGACTTCAGCAGGGAAACGACAACAGGCCCAAAGTCCTGCACTGCCATCCCATCCATGGGAGTGTCCTCCATGGGCAGCGCTGTATGGGAGAGATTGATCCTGGTCAGAGCACAGCCCAGCTCCAGGGAGGTACAGCCAGGGTTTTTGGCACTCAGCCTCTGAACAAGAGGTGAGGAAGAGCCGAGAGAACCCATCAGCGCGGCAAACCTCGAGAGCCATCTGCAGAGCTCAGCTAAGAGACTGAGCGACCAGAGCAGCACCATGACTTGTCTGGATCTGCAGCCCCACCTCTGACCTCCAACATCCCTACTGCAGGGAGCTGGGGTGTCCAAAGACACTTTGGGATCTGCAGAGCTGCCCTCAGCACCCAAAACAGGACCAGGATCTCATTTATTTCTTGCAGGCCACCAAACAGGTCTGAAGGACTATAATGCAGCTGCAAATCGCTGTGGTGAAGCTGGCACAGGCCTCTCTTCTCCATCAGCACTACCGGTTTTTCCACCCCTCAGTGAGGCTCTGCACAGCAGGAGCAGATGAGAACTACAGGACAGTGACCTGGAGAGCAAGAGGTTCCATCTTACCCAGGGTAAAGGTATCTCCCTGCGGGACCTTCTGCGGCTTGAAGAAGGAGAGGAAGTTCTCAAAGTAGCACGGCAGCCGGATGATCGTGGTGGGAACGCCAATGTCCTGGAAGTACTCCTCCACCTCACCTTTGCTGTCAAAGTGGGGCACCTCCAGCTGGCCCCCGGTCAGCTTCTTCACGTTCTCCAGGCCGCTGTACACGACATGGCGCAGACCCAGGCGCTTTGACAGATCAGCAAGCCGCTTTCCCTGGGTGAAGGGTGAAACTGGCCATGAAGAGGGAAATGGCTCCCTTGGGACACAGGGCAGCTCTCACCATCCCCACAACCCACCCTTCCCCTCTGTTGCACTGGGCAGGAGGGCAGGATCCAACACACGCCAGCTGAGCAAGCTCTTCTGCATCTGGCACCCCGAGCACTCAGCTGGAAGCAGGGCTGAGCAGACCCAGCGAGCCCTGAGAGTTGGCCAGGAGGAGTAGGGTCCTCTGCTTACACCATCCTACATTAGACAAGCCGCACACCCTGCAGCTTTGGTGCCAGCTCCTCCACCAAGCACACAAACACCAGCCCTAAAGATATGCTGGGCACACCATACCTGCCCTAACGTATCTTATCTTTAGTTTGCTGCCATCCAGGCTTGGCAATTGTGCCACCCTGTGAAACCTATCCAGGGGTGAACACTGCCCATAGGGAAAGCCCTGGGAGTTCTGGTACCACAGCACGTTTTGGCCCCAAAGCTGTAAGTAATGAGAACTACAGGACAGCAGGCAGTGACAGTCCTGACTCAGCCCTGGGAACGCTCTGTGGAGCTGCATCTTCCCTCTCCTGCTACTCTGACTCCCAGGCAGTGCTCTCTGCCACACCAAGTCTCACGGCATCTAACAGCTCCCTGAAGGCACCAGATCCTGGAGCCATGTGACTGCAAGGGAACAGGGAACAAGTTCTGGCTTTGCAAGACCTGGGACCCGGTTTGTTTGCAAAGCCTTGGAACTTTTCTGGACCGGGCGCTTGAACCGTCAAGACTGTTTCATGACCCCCACCCTGATGCCACATGGCTGTCCCTTGATTTCCCCCTCCCAGGCCGTTCTGCACGTGCTCCCAGTTAAAGCAAGCAGCGGTACCTGCGCGATTTCCCTCTCTTTGCTCAAGTGATCCCAGAAGTTGGTTACAACAAAGGCTCCATAAGCACCCGCCAAGGCCAGCTCCAGCGACGGCTCATCGTCCTGATCCGCCTTCACGATTTCAGCTCCCCTCTGCTTCAGCTCGTTGGCCTCCTTCTTCGCGGGGTCCCGCGTCACCGCGCGGACCTTGAAGGTCCCATCGTCCAGCAGAGCCCGGGCCACGGAGCCCCCCTGAGCCCCTGCAGGTGCAGACCCGTTCAGAGCCCCGGCTTCCCGCAGGGCTCTGCCCACAAAGGGAACTGGGACGAGCTGGGACTGGGAGACGGAGCTGCTCGGCCCCGTGCTCTCCCTGGGACACAAGGACCAACTCCCCCCAG